CTGGTGAAAGGACTTGAAGAAAAAGTACATTTTTTAGACACAGCTAACACACCAATATCTAAGGCTAAAAAAAAAAAAAAAAAAAAAAAAAAAACAGCACAAATTTTCAATGTCTTTGTCCTTCATGTTCTTTGGGCACAAAAGGGATCCTAGATAAGCAATCCTTAAGATTTCATATTAAAATTGTTCCTAAACTATACTCACATGATGTTCCACAAAGAACTGTTTTTGTTTCCCAAATGCCCTCTGTGTGTGAGTGCATGCGTGCGTGTGTGTGTGTGTGTGTGCATGTATGTGTCTTGGAAGGGTCAGTTGTGTTATTCCTTCTCTTGCTTTTAAGATATTTTTATTTTTTAAAATATTTTTTATTGGTTTCAGAGAGGAAGCGAGAGAGAGAGAGAGAGAGAGAGAGAGAGAGAGAGAGAGAGAGATCAGTGATGAGAGAGAATCACTGATCGGCTGCCTCCTACATGCTCCCTACTGGAGATCAAGCCCACAACCCGGGCATGTGCCCTGCCCGGAATTGAACCCGGAATAGGCCAACACTCTATCCACCAAGCCAAACCATCTAGGGTTAAGTTTAATATGGAGCCGAAACCGGTTTGGCTCAGTGGATAGAGCGTCGGTCTGCGGACTGAAAGGTCCCAGGTTCGATTCCGGGTAAGGGCATGTACGTTGGTTGCGGACACATCCCCGGGAGGGGGTGTGCAAGAGGCAGCTGGTCGATGTTTCTCTCTCATCGATGTTTCTAGCTCTCTATCTCTCTCCCTTCCTCTCTGTAAAAAATCAATAAAAGAAAAAAGTTTAATATGGAATTATGTCTCAAAATCCTGGGATCTCTCCACGTGGAGATTTCTGTATATGCTAACTATGGGATATCACTGAGAAAGTGGAGAATTGTATTTTTTAACCTTATTGGGGTGAGTGGGGGAGGGGTGTGATTGATGCTTTAAATTAAGCATCATATTGCAGGCCCTGTCAACGCTGAAGAATACGCTCTTCATTTTTCTGCCCTCAAAGAACGCAGGGCAACGCCACAGATGTGAGAGGCACCGCTTATGAAGATGGCCATTGATATATGGTCGATTTAGATTACTTCTCAACATCAAACGTCCGAGAAAAAAAATTTAATAAAACAAGGAATCTATCAATGCCCCACAGACTTGCCTCCCTGGCGGCGATAGGTGTGGTGCCTGTGGGATTGGCAGAAAAACAAACTATACAAAGTCAGCCCTTTTCTGCAGCATTCGGGGACATTTGCTGGTTTTTATTTTTATTGATTTTTTTTTTTTTTTTTTTTTTTTTTTTTTTTTTTTTTTTTCTGAGAGGAATGGAGAAGGATAGAGAGTTAGAAACATCGATGGGAGAGAAAGAATGATCAGCTGCATCCTGCACACCTCCTACTGGGGATGTGCCCGCAACCAAGGTGCATGCCCTTGACTGGAATTGAACCCAAGACCTTTCAATCCGCAGGCCGACGCTCTATCCACTGAGCCACACCGGTTAGGGTGGACCTTTGCTATTTTCAATAACCTTCTGAGGATGCCATCTGTCAAATAAAGGCTGTATCATCCTATGAAAAAATTAATGCATTTATGCCATATTTCTTTGGGTCTTTTAACATATATGATAATATTGGGGCATGAGAAATATAAGTACCCAATAGAAAACCAAACCAAACCAAAAACACCCACTGCTAACTTTGGTTCCATAATGCCCATGTCACCATGTAACATTACCTCTTGAGAACAAATTCAATTTATCTCTACATATTACCCCAAACCAATAAAGCTCAAAAAAACAAAAAAACAAAAAAAACACACCTTAAAAATACCTAGAAAACGTAGAGGAAAGAGAAAGACATAAAATAACCTAATGAGCAAGATTTCCCATAATCGCTCTAACAATAACATCTGAGCCAGTAGAAGCGTGATTTGGAATGCTCTGGCCGTGCTAAGAAAACCCCAATTTTATGTCTTACAATAACAACGAATTCAACAGCACACACTTGTAGAAATCAGTGAATTAAAGAGAACTTTCTTTGCTTACTATTGGGAATACAACCCTAATGTATCTGTGGATAGGATATATTATGGTAGGGGTGGTTTATGCTTGGAAGATCCAACAAGACAAAAATTATTTCATGTCGGCCCATCCACTTTTTTTAAAAATATATTTTATTGATTTTTCACAAAGAGGAAGGGAGAGGGATAGCTAGAAACATCGATGAGAGAGAAACATCGACCAGCTGCCTCCTGCACACCCCCTACCGGGGATGTGCCCTCAACCAAGGTCCATGCCCTTGACCGGAATCGAACCTGGGACCTTTCAGTCCGCAGACCGACGCTCTATCCACTGAGCCACACAGGTTGCAGCGGCCCATCCACTTCTGACCATGTGGACTAGGTCTGAACAAGCTGCTGTTCTTTAATTCCTGCTCTCATCGAGAGATGATATATTCATACACACATCCAAAGGAATCCAGAAGACGGATGGCTTGTTTTCATAGTGTCTTTTTGAAATTAACCGCCAGAATACACGAAACATGATCCTGTAACATGCTTGCTTTGTATCGTGTGAAAACAGAGACATGAACGTGATATGAACAGGCTCTTTTCACATGATCTGACAAAAACAGAAGGGAGAACTAAACCCCTACCCCTTTGTCCTCAGCGTGTGCGGCTAGTGCGACTCCCAGTCAGGGGACCCTTACATCCCGCAGCCCCATGTCTGATGTAGAAAGGCCTCCAGCCCGGCCGGTATGGCTCAGTGGTTAAGCATCAACCTACGAACCAAGAGGTCACGGTTCCATTCCCGGTCAGGGCACATGCCTGGCTGGTGGCCTCGATCCCCAGTAGGGGGCGTGCAGGAGGCAGCCGGCCAATGATTCTGTCGTCATTGATGTGTTTAGACTCTCTCTCTCCCTCTCCCTTCCTCTCTGACTTTCCATTCCAGTTCCTTCAGCACAGCCCAGAGAGAGGCTATGCCTGCATCCTTCCTACTTGACTCTGTTTCTATTCTCTTTGCTACTATCCCCCTCGCCCCCATCTCATGAACCCAGGGACCCTTGCAAAATCACAGTCTGGAGCCCAGCATGCAAAGCACCCCTTTATCTTCTGTCCCCAGGGACCCCGAGATTTGAGGGTGACCTGGCAGCCTGCGCCTGCCCAGGGAATGGCCCGGCAGGGGGCACAGGCCGGGCACCCTCTGTCCAAGCCCTGTTTCCCAATCAGAGTCCCCCCACAAGACAACCTGGTCCCCCCTCCGCGGTGTAATCTTTCCTCAGATCGGCCCCGCAGCCCATTAATCACGGCTGTCACTCTCCCACGTGACCCCGGGGCAGCGGGGCTGTTTTTCCAAAAATCTCAGAGCCAGAAATGAAGCTTGAAGCTCGAGGAAGAGGAAATGTTCCCCTCCTCCTCCTCCTCCTTCTCCTCCTCCTCCTCTTCCTCCTCCTCCTCCTCCTCTTCCTCACAGAGGCTGGCTGGGGTGCCCACTGGAAGAAGCCACCGCTTTTGTTGACTTTTTCCTTTTTTTTTTTTGCCCAGAACATTCCATGGGGCGTTTTGAAGGGAATCGGGGAGGAAGTGGAGGGAGAGAGGATGAAGAGAAGCCCACACGTGAGGCCCCCCCGCCGAGGAGAACTTGAGAGAGAAGGAAGAGTGGAGAAGTCAATGCCGATAAGGAATAATTCCAGCCTCATTCATGTGTGGAAGGCCCATCGTTTTACCAGCTTCAGGCCCAAGTTCAAGTTTATGGAGGGTCAAGGCTGTAGCCATCACAGACCCTCTACGTCACAGACCCTCAAAAAACTGTAATTCGCCGAAGCTGGTTTGGCTCAGTGGTAGAGCGTTGGTCTGAGGACTGAAAGGTACCGGGTTCGATTCCGGTCAAGGGCATGTACATTGGTTGCGGGCACATCCCCGGTAGGCGGTGTGCAAGAGGGGGCTGGTCGATGTTTCTCTCTCATCGACGTTTCTAGCTCTCTATCTCTCTCCCTTCCTCTCTGTAAAAAAATCAATAAAAAATATATTTAAAAAAAAATAAAACTGTAATTCACTAGACGGAATAAACTGTTGTCCACTGAGGACAGAGCCTCTTAAAGAGCTGATACACTGTTCCCTAAGTGGAAATCATAAAGGTTGGAGTGACCTGAAACCCAAGGGCTAATTTTAAAAATATATATATATTTATTGATTTCAGAGAGGAAGGGAAAGGGAGGGAGAGAGAAGCATCCATGATGAGAGGGAATTATGAATCGGCCACCTCCTGCATGGCCCTAGTGGGGATCGATCCCAAGACCCAGACATGTGCCCTTGACCGGAATTGAACCTGGGACCAAAGGGGATCCTTCGGACCACAGGCCATGAGATCATTAACATAGAAAACAAGACTGTAGTCTTGAGCACCAACCTAGGAACCAGAAGGTCAAGGTTAAATTCTCCTTCAGGATGCATACCTGGGGTTGCAGGCTCAATCCCCAGGAGGGAGCGAGCAAGAACAGCCGATCCGTGATTCTCTCTCATCATTGATGTTTCTCTCTCCCTCTCACTTCCTCTCTGAAATCAATAAAAATATTTCTTTCTTTTTTTTTCCCAGAAAGAAAAAGAAAACAGGAGAAAGAAGGACCATGATCAGGACATATCTCATGTCATATCAGACCCTGTCATGACTTAGGAAATACAGAGAGAAGCATGGACGTGACAGAAACATATCAATTGGTTGCCTCCTATATGAGCCCTGACCAGGGCCCTGCAACCGGGGCACGTGCCCTTGACCGGAATCAAACCCGGGACCTTTCGGTCTGCAGGCCGGCGCTCTATCCACTGAGCCACACCGGCCAGGGCCCATTTCCGGTTTTAAGTTTCCTTACAAGTGTCAACGTCAGCGGGGTTGACTGTGTTGCATTCTGCTTCGAGTCAGTAACAGGAAGCCCGTGTTGTGCGTGGGGATTCAGGCCCTCGGAAACCAACCACGCGAGCCTGAGCGAGGACACTCACCACAAAAGCCACGGCGCTCCTCAGCGTGGACTCCCACTCAAAGCAGCTCTTGAGGAACTGGAGCGAATTCCATATCGCCATGGTGAGCCTCCGCACCCGGTCCACGTCTCTGGACAAGATCTGGTCAGGAGACACGGGAAGCAGAGAGGTAGGTTTGACTGCTACACACACACTCGGTGGAGATCAGGCAGCCTGGCCGTCTCCCCTGTGTTCTGTGTTGCTGCCAATTAAAAAGCAGGGAATGGTAAGATATGTACACAAGATAATAATTTAATAAAATAATAATAATAATAATAATAATAATAATAAAATAAGAACAAAAAAATAATAAAATAAATAAGTAAAAATAAAAACCAGAGAGGGAAAGGCCTCGTGCTCCTTCCAAAATTCTTCTTAAAAGTCCGGCCGTCCGAGGAGGAAAAGAGAATGCAATGCATCTGATGGCTTCTTTAACAGAAAAGGAACTGTTTGAATTGTGTTCATCACACAACTGAGCTGGGGAAAAAGGACTGAAGCCAGGCATCTGGGTGTGTGTGTGTGTGTGTGTGTGAGAGAGAGAGAGAGAGAGAGAGAGAGAGAGAGAGAGACAGACACACACAGAAAGACCAAGAATGGGAACAAGTGGCTACCAGTTTAGCTTAGAAGGAAATGGACAATTTATAGCAGAAATGTTCAAGTGTTTTAACTAATCAAGTTCAGAGGAAAAAGTCTATAGGAGTCCTAGCTGGTGTCGCTCAGTGGATAGAGCATCGGCCTGCAGACGTAAGGGCCCCAGGTTCAATTCCGGCCAAGGGCACATGCCCGGATTGTGGGCTAGATCCCCCCCAGGGGATGTGCAGAAGGCAGCGGATCCATGATTCTCTCTCATCATTGATGTTTCTCTCTCTCCCTCCCTTCCTCTCGGAAATCAATTTTTATAAAAACCTACAGGAAAGGCTAGTTCTGGCAAAGGAATGCAGTCCTCCCATCTCCCGGCTGCTAGCCTGTGACCTTAGGCAGTTCCTTAACCTCTCTCTTAGGCAATGCACCAATCCCGATGGTAGACCGAATTGATGCACTCGGAGTGCTTGCCACATAGCTAAGTGCTTTTACGTATTTGCGTCAGAAGCACATGTTTCGACTTTCTGAGAACAAGGGGACACCTAGTGGTGAGAGGGAGGACCCTCACATACCCGAGGACCCCAGGATCCCAGCCCCACCCCACCCCACCCCCAGGTGCCCTCAGAGACCTGGAGCCACCCCACCACGCGGGAGGTGTTTGGCAAAGGAAATGTCTCTTCTCCCACGGGTAGGCAGATTCCTTCCAGTTTGTTTGCAGAAGCAGCCGCCCCACCTACCTCACCTCGGGTTTTAACTTTCAAGTAAACAGAGCCAAGAAGTGCAATGCTGCTGCTAATAAAAATAAAAAAATAAGAGGCTGGCTCCGATTACGCTAAAGCCAACATGACAGCCCGTGTTGTTGTAGATGGGAGCCAAAGGCGGGGACGGCCCCCTCGGGCCTCTCCCCACGGGGCCCAGGAATTCATGGGAAACAGAAGGACGGTAAGACGCCCTTTCTATGGCGCGGCTTTCTGTCACCCGCAGCTGCTCACCCACAGGAAGGGGTGGAAGTAATAAATACTCGGAAAAGGGGACACTCTGTTCTTTGTTACACAACCCGAGAGGGACAATAGGGACGGAGTGACATCCCGAATGCTGGACAGGATGGGGAGGGGCCTGGAGATAAGTGGAAAAGTCAGCTCGACAAAGAAGGTGTGGCCGCCCCCACGGGGCTCCGCTCTGGTCCTCACCTTGGGTTGAAACGGGGACAGAAGAATACAGGGCAACAGAGAGAGAGAGAGAGAGAGAGAGAGAGAGAGAGAGAGAGAGAGAGAGAGAGAGGGGCAGGCCATTCAGAAGGAGGTGAAGTGGCAGCAACCCCACAAATTCAGACAATACGAAGGTGGTAGGAGAGGCTGTGGGAGTCCCAGGCTAGACGGCTCTAAAGATGCATTAAGCTAATTTCTTTATGAATGGAAAAGGCCAGAATCCCGCCCTGAGAGGCTGAAGGACAGAGACAGACATGTGATGAAAGAAAAGAGGCGGGGCACGGAGATCTGGAGAACGCTCACAGGAGCTGGAGGCTAGGGGCTCTGCTCAGAGGACGACTCAGGGGGTTGACGGAGGGCTGGCACCTTCTACTCATCCAAGAGATGTGGGCTGAGTCTTTCCCTTCTTATTGAGCTGATGAAGTCCTTGTTTGGGGGGGAAAGGAGGGAAAAGGAGAAAGGAGTGGAGAGGTGGGGACTGAGAATGATAGAAGAGATAGAATAGAGGTAGAGATAGAGATAGAGATAGAGATAGAGATAGGTAGAGATAGAGGTGGAGGTAGAGGTGGAGGTAGAGATAGAGGTAGAAGTAGAGATAGAGATAGAGATAGAGATAGAGATAGAGATAGAGATAGAGATAGAGATAGAGATAGAGATAGAAGTAGAGATAGAGGTAGAGGTAGAGGTAGAAGTAGAGATAGAGATGATAGAGATAGAGATAGAGATAGAGATAGAGATAGAGATAGAGATAGAGATAGATAGAGATAGAGATATAGAGATAGAGATGGAGATGGAGATAGAGATAGAAGTAGAGATAGAGGTAGAGATAGAGGGAGAGGTAGAGAGGGAGGGAAGAAAAGAAAAGGAGGAAGAGGAGAGGAAGAAGGAGGAGGAGAAAGAGGAGGGAAAAAAGAAGAAGAGGAGGAAGAAGAACAACAACAACAGGAGGAGGAAGAGGAGGGAGAGGGGAAGGAGGGGTGCAAGCAAACACGGGCAGCCAGGACTCCAGGCCCCGCATGTCGAGTGAACCCCCAAGCCAGCTCCGCACTGAGACCCACCTTTTTGGACAGCTTGCGGCTGTCTTCAACAAAGCGCTTCTCCCGGGGCGTGAAGGTCCTGATGCTGGCTTTGACCTAGGAAGACATCACTGTTTAAAGAAAATGGGGGGGCGTTTCTGTAGATTGCATTCCTCTCCTCTTCTTCACGGCGGGGAAGGACCCGCAAACCAATCTGTGTTACCCCTAAGGCCTGGCGAGGAGCAGAGAAGGGTGCGTGTGTGTGTGTGTGTGTGTGTGTGTGTGTGTGTGTGTGTGTAGTCAATAATCAGAAGCATGCGAACGGAGCTTCTGGATTATGAAACCTATTTTGCACAGAAAAAAAATCTCATTTCCTCTCAGTGATCTGGAAAACCAGAATTCATACCAGTTGAAAGCTGGAGTGTCCAGCATGGATTTGATGGTTGAAGGGTTTTGTTGTTATTGTTTGTTTTAAATATATTTTTGTTGATTTCAAAGAGGAAGGGAGATGGGGGGAGAGAGAGAAATATCAATGATGAGAGAGAATCACTGATCGGTTGCCTCCTGCATGCTCCCTACTGGGGATGGAGCCCGCAACCCGAGTTCATAGGTGGATGATCAACCACTGGGCCACACTGGCCGGGCAATGGTTGAGCTTTAAAACACTGTTTTCTCTCTCTCTCTCTCTCTCTCTCTCTCTCTCTCTCTCTCTCTCTCTCTCTCTCTGTCTCTCTTCCTCTCCCTTTCAGTCTCCCTCTGTGCAAATATCCTAAAACATTTCACACAGACCGGAATCTCTCTAGGCTGACCACCTGTCGTGTTAGGTACAGGGACACTGGGAGGTATGGCCCAATGAGACCAGCGAGACTCACCGCATTATAGATAAGCTCCATCTCCAAGTAAATGACTCCTTTAAAAGCAACTTCTAAATCTTTATTCTTTAACACGTAGCAATTCGTTTGTCCATCTCGAATCTGCCATAAGCAAGAGAAAAAAACACAAATGTTTCCTGGGGCTTACCCTGAACAAACCCGCAGAGATGCACACACAGAGATGAAACAGTTGATGAAATCATCTTACATCAACTGTTCACTGTAGAGTCCTCTCCCAGCCGACAGAAAGCTAAAGTAACAATTACTGGGGACTTATGGAAAATTAGTGGCCTGAATTATTACTGCGTCTACATGGGCTTTCAAAAATCTCAGAGGTTCTACATGTCTATTTATTTATTTATTTAAATATATTTTATTGATTTTTTTACAGAGAGGAAGAGAGAGGAATTGAAAATTAGAAACATCGATGAGAGAGAATCATCGACCAGCTGCCTCTTGCACACCCCCTACTGGGGATGTGCCCACAACCAAGTACATGCCCTTGACCGGAATCGAATCTGGGACCTTTCAGTCCGCAGGCCGGCGCTCTATCCACTGAGCCAAACCGGTTTGGGCATACATGTCTATTTATTAAAACAAGATAAATCCTCTACAAAATCCCTGGCCAGGATTCCTCCAGCTGGCCAAGGTCATGGGAAAAAGGAAACGCTTAGAAACGGTCACAAATCAGAAGACGTCGGAGATAAGACCACTACATGCCAAGTATGGCAGGTACCCCGGGTTGGATCCTGGAACAGAGAAAGGACATCATTGGAAAAGCTGGTTGCTTTCCTATAAAGGCCACAGGTTAACAGAAGTGTACCATGTCGGGTTTTGTGGTATTTTCGCTTCTGATGTGGTTGTTCTTTTTCTTATTGTTGTTTAGTTTTGACCAGTGCGTCACGGGCATAAAAGTTGTCAACAGGAGGGAAAATGATGAGAGAGAATCATGGATCGGCTGCCTCCTGCACGCCCCCTACTGGGGATGGAGCCCGCAACCCAGGCAGGTGCCCTGACCGGGAATGGAACTATGACCTCCTGGTTCATAGGTCGATGCTCCACCACTGAGCCACGCCAGCCAGGCCTGGCCATATTTTAAATGATTATTGCTGTCACTCCAAGTGCTCGCCCACAAGGGTTCTTATAAACAGTGGTGGAAATGAGCCGAGTTCGGTCAGGGCGGGAAGCAGCCATTCCTCTTTACAAAGGAGAGGTCTCCTTCCTTCCCTAAGTCACCCCACCTCTCCACATTGAATAGGTCTTCAACAGAAAGATGGCTTTCCTGGCCAGTGGCAGAGAGGGAGGGGGGGCCCCATAAAAACCGGGTTTCCTTCCGAAACGGGCTCCAAACAGGATCCGGAGCTTCCTCTTGTGTCCACGGTCTCACTTAATAAATTGTGGGTGTTAAAGTTGAAAGAGATAAAATACAAAAGCAGCGTGACCCTTTGCCAAGCTGACTCGTGTCCAAGGGAGCTTTGCTCAGGGCCACAGGCATTGTACCCCGTTATCTTAAAATTTCCATCATTTCTTAAGGGTCAGGGAAGGTCAAACAGAAGAACAAGAGGTAGCAGTATAAAAAGAAATATTTTATAGTAAGAGATTTTTTTTTTTTTTTTTTTGGTGCGTGTGCATGTTTTTTTAATTTGGTAAATGATCGTTTCCTCTTTCTCAATGTCCTAGTATTGTGTCAGCAAAACACAGAATCCGCCCAGGGACATTCAAGTAATCAGACTGTCCGTTTCCTTGTAACTCTGGGCATTTTTATTTAATACGCAGCAATTTCATAGTCATTAAGAGGCCTGAGATAGGATGAAGGCTATTCCTGTTTGGCACTTGAATATATTTCCTTAAAATACATAAATCACACGTTGAGACATTTCTTTTTTAAAGTTTGAAAATTAACAGAAAAAAAATAAATTCTGGACTTCCAAAAATACCAGAAATTTGGCATAGATCCCTCCTACATTGTTATTGAGACTTTACATTCATAAACTGAATGTACTTTGCAACTTCATTTTTGTACCTACCCATAGGATTCAGACTGAAAAGTTTGTAGTAGAATATGGATCTGCCTCATCTCTTTAAATGGCTATCTACTATTCAAAATATAAATAACCCACCCTTTATGAATTTTTCTATTGATTCCACTTCTTCTGGCTGTCTGTTACAAGGAAAACCTTTGGGGTAAAGAACAAATACGCTATTCTGTATGAGGAATAGGTTTGATTTAGGAATAGATCCATATACTGAAATATTGACTATTATAATTAAACTAAAGTAATAATCTATTATTCCACGGGGGGAAGATGTTTCCCATATATTCTCTAAAATATATTTTATTGATTTTATTACAGAGAGGAAGGGAGGAGAGGAAGAGAGAGTTAGAAACATCGATGAGAGAGAATCATTGATCAACTGCTTCCTGCACACCCCCTACTGGGGATGTGCCCGCAACCAAGGTACATGTCCTTGACCGGAATCGAACCTGGGACCCTTCAGTCCACAGGCTGCCGCTCTATCCACTGAGCCAAACTGGTCAGGGCTCCCATATGTTTTTTAAATTCAAAAGATGAAAGGAGTGGAAATATATACATTAACCTAAGACTAAACACGAGGTGTCATTCACAACCATTTCTGTGTACGTGTCCCTGTTTTTCCTGATTATTTCACACCCACCTCTGAGATATATATACACTTTCTAAATTCACATTTTTAAAGACTAGGAAACTAAAGAACCTTTTCTAGAGGTGGAACTGCTGACTCATAAGATACATCTATTTGATGGCTTTTCCCTCCTACAAAGAGGGAAAAGCTTCTGTGAATCAGACCACCCATTTCCTCGCCACGCCGGGCATTTTTATTTAATACATAGCAATTTCGGAGGAATAAAGAGGCTTCAGGTTGTTTTAATATGTACTCTTTCTTATACCTAATGAGACCGAACATGTTCTCTCCTGCGTTTATTAACGGTGCGCTGAGGCAGGACTGGGAGACCAGACAGACTCAGGTTCAATTCCCACGCCTGGCATTTAGCATCTGTGTGGCCAGGCGTAATTCCATCTCCTCGCGTCTCAGATGCGGCTCTACGACAGATATCCCAGAATACAAATGCTCAGAGATACGTGTGTGTTAAATTGTAATCCATTTTATCAAGGTGCCTTCTACAAGCACCTTGTTCCAAGGCATGCTCCCTCCAACAGTGTTTGAGAGTCCTTTTATTTTTTTTTAATTTAAATATATTTGTATTGATTTCAGAATAAAAGGGAGAGGGAGAGGGAGGGAGATGGAAACATCAGTGATGAGAGACAATCATGGATCGGCTGACTCCTGCAACCCGGGCAATCCTGGGGATCGAGCCTGCAACCCGGGCCTGTGCCCTGACCGGGAATCGAACCGTGACCCCCTGGTTTGTAGGTCCACGCTCAACCACTGAGCCACACCAGCTGGGTGAAAGTCTTTTCCTACACTTAGTGATCACTCCTAGTGAAAAAAATCATTCTATAGGCGTTAATCTGACTGCTCAAATGAATTTAATAATTTAATGTACTCAAACTAAGGTGACAGCTTACCCTGTCCTAGCCTTGTAAATGGTTTGCCTGTTCAATTACATTTTTACAGAAGTAGTACTTGGAATTATCAAGTACACCATGTACATATTTTCCATGTTGCTCATTTTTTAATGTTCATTAATTCCTTTTGACTGTCCTTAGTTTTATTTCCTTTTGTCGAGATGCTTAAATGGTTTTCAACCTTTGTTGTTTAATTGTGAAAACATTCAAGTTAAGAATTTCCTCTGAATAATACTTTTGGCCCTTCTCCACGGTTTTGTGTGGGTGTGGGTTTTTTGAATTTTTTTTTTTTCAAGGAGAAAACATTCATTTCCAAGTGCGACATAATGCAATCAGGTTATTTTTTTAAACTGCTTTGAATGAAATCTGAAATTAGAAGGACTGTACTTTCATTCATTATTTCACTGAAATATAACCTGGATACCGACACATACATATTTCTTAGAATATTTGGTGTGTTATCACAAAGTGAACAGTCATAGGTAACCTTTAGAATTCTCGTGGAATTACTAAGTCCTCTTTCCTTTCCAGAGGTAATTCTCCACAGTTTATAAGTATATTATTGCATTGTTCCTTTCTAGAGCTGTAGTTTTTGTATCTACATTTAGCTACATGGGATTTCTCCCTTTCTCCCCCCAACTGTTTTGATAGTTGTCTCACTTTTGTTATTAATTCCTATTTTCCTAGTGTTGTGATCACAGTGAAGTCTCTATCTTTTTTTTTAATCTATTGAGGCAACTGAGAGCCACAACATGATCAATTCATGAACGTGTTAAATGGCAATGTGCACAGAGTATTTTGTATATTTACATGCATGTATGCAGACACATGCATTAATTAAATTCACTGTTTAGTCTCTAAAGTTGGAGAACAATCCCTGTGGTACTCCCAAAATGCATCTGAGAACTTGCTAGAAAAAAAAAAAAAAAAGAGACTGCAGCCTGGCTGGCATGGCTCAGTGGTAGAGCATTAAGCTATGAACCAGAAGGTCACGGTTCGATTCCAGATCAGGGCACAGGCCCAGATTGCGGGCTTGATCCCCAGTAAGGGGCGTGCAGGAGGCAGCAGATCCATGATTCTTTCTCATCATTGACGTTTCTCTCTCTCTTTCTTTGCCTCTCCCTTCCTCTCTGTAATCAATAAAATATATAGTTTCCAGGGCCAATCAGGAATTTTGCCTTATTGTTGTCTTCCTTTATGTATTTCAATGACGTCTTGAACCAAAATTAAGCGAAGAGGTGAACTGAACATTTGTGTTCAAAAAATCACCACGTTGGCCCTGCCTTGGGACTCCTTTTAGTATTTTTTTTTAATTTGGTTTTCCATATACAAATATTAACACCAAGTAAAAGATCAACATTGTTTACTTGAATGGCCCAGATTTCAGCATTCCCCACACAACAAAATGATGGCGTAAATGTGTCCATTAGAATGAGCAAATCTCATCCCAGGTGCCATTCGGGCAAATACTCGATTGGAAATGCAAATGGAGACTTGCATGGACGTTTATTGGGTAGGAGCAATTACGGGAAATTTGTCCCATAAAACTAATTAAGTGAAGCTGTTGCTGGTGCAGCAAGCGGGCCGAGGGCTGCGTGAGGCGTGCATCTGATTGCAGATGCGCATGTTGGCGTAGATTGCACCAAAAATGAGAATTTGTTTCGAAATGTAGGGCCTCATTATGCTGCCGCAGACATTAGAAAATAATAATAAAGAGATGCTCTTCTTACTTTAAGGAAACCTGATTTTCCTAGCCTTCCTAGGTTGGCCCATGAGATAATTCTGAAAGGGTAAACATATTCTATATAACAAAGAACTAATATGCTAATTAGACCGAATAGCCGAACGACCATCTGGGTGACCTTCTAGGTGACCTTCCGGATGAAGCTGGGGCTGGGAGGGCCGGGCCAGGGCGGAGCCCACTGCACGAATTTCATGCACGGGGCCTTGAGTGTTTAAATGAAAAAGAATGACCTAGATAAATGAGAAAAATCCAGCCGGATTTTCTGGACAGAATTAGGATTGATTAGTTGAGGATAGAAATGTTAAATAAATCTACTGAAAACAGATATTAGGAGTTGGAGTCTAGCTTAGAAATATTTTAAAACTCTCCAATGTGCACGCTATTTTCCAACACATATTTACTATGTTATCGATCGGAAGATTTAAGGACTAACATGTTCCCTGTTAGAGATATTTAGCCTTTTGGCATATTTTTAATCATATTTTTATCTATTAGTTAGGTGGAGAATCAGTTCACCTTGGAGAGCGTGTGCTGCAGGAAGAGCCCCCATAGATCCTCAAAGAAGCTGATCACTTTCCTAATTTATTGGTCAAAGAATTTGGAAATCAATCAATGAATAGAAACAGCCACATCTTGCCCAAAGTCACAGTTTTGAGTCCTGGACCCAGCATATAACTGGGCATGGGCTTCGTCCCCAGTAGGGGGCATGCAGGAGGAAGCTGATCATTGATTCTCTTTTTATTGCTGTCTCTATTTCTCTCTCTCCCACTCCCTTCCTCTCTGAAATCAATAAAACCATATTTAAGAAGAAAAATAAAAGGCTGGTGAAAACGGTTTGGTTGAGTCAATCATATCTGACTGACACAGAGATGCCCCAAGCGGTTTGACTCACTGAATAGAGCATCGGACTGGGGACTGAAGGGTCCCAGGTTCGATTCCAGTCAAGGGCATGTACTTTGGTTGCGGGCACATCCCCGGTGGGGGTTGTGCAGGAGGCAGCTGATCAATATTTCTCATGCATGTTTTTAACTCTCTATCACTCTCTCTTCCTCTCTGTAAAAAAAAAATCAATAAAAGATATTTTTTAAGAAGAAAATTATGTTACTTTAGATTTAGATCTGAAACGACTGGAATAAAACAGATGTCTCTACCTAGAGTTATAAAGTGTTCTCAGGTAGAGGAAGACCCAGGTAGAGGAGACAGAAAGTTGTCAACTACACAATGACCCACAAACTGTATTAACAAAGATAACTTACAGACAGCAAGGGAATGGAGACTTTTCCAAGAAAATCCGGGGGTTTGTCTCCATCTTCATCAAACACGGTCACTTCCAAAGCATCATGGACATCCTTAACGGGGCTGCAACAAGAAACACACCGTGGGTCATACACACACACACACACACACACACACACACACACACACGTGGAGTCGGTTCCGTGAAGATCGGAAAACACGGTTCCACTAATTAAGTCTGCAGGTCCTTAGAGTATACAACTACCATTTAATTAAACTCCAAAAATTAAATCAAACTGGCTCTATTCCCAAGCCTTCCATCAGAGGAGATTCAGTCATTCATGGGAGAAAAAGTCAACTTCCTTACTGGGTGACATTCTTTATGTCTCCGTGCACGCCAGGGTGGGACCGTTAAAGAAACAGGACAAAGAGAGAGGAATGGGAGGCAGAATGAGGAGGGTAAAAGGATGGTGATTTCGAAGGAGCTTCCCAGCTGGTGTGGCTCAGTGGATAGAGCGTTGGCCTGCGGACTGAAGGGCCCTGGGTTCGATTCCGGTCAGGGCACATGCTGGGGTTGCAGGCTGCATCCTCAGTGTGGGACATGCAGGAGGAGGCAACTGATCCATGATTCTCTCATCCCCTTGATGTTTCTCTCACTCTTTCTCTCCCTTCCTCTCTGAAATCAATAATGTGTTTCTTTTTAAAGATGCCCCTTGCTGATACCGGTGTGGCTCAGTGGATAGAACGTCGGCCTGCAGACTGAAAGGTGCCTGGTTCGATTCCGGTCAAGGGCATGTACCTTGGGTAGTGGGCACATTCCCAGTAGGGGGTGTGCAGGAAGCAGCTGATCAATATTTCTCTCATTGATGTTTCTAGCTCTCTATCCCTTTCGCTTCCTCTCTGTAAAATATCAATGAGCCGAAACTGGTTTAGCTCAATGGACAGAGCGTCGGCCTGCGGACTGAAAGGTCCCGGGTTCGATTCCGGTCAAGGGCATGTACCTTGGTTGCGGGCATATCCCCAGTAGGGGGTGTGCAAGAGGCGGCTGATCGATGACTCTCTTGTCGATGTTTCTAACTCTCTATCTCTCTCCCTCCCTCTCGGTACAAAATCAATAAAAAATATATATATAAAAAATATATCAATGAAATAAAATTTTTTTAAAAAGATGCCCCTGGATAGTCCAGAGGCTGAAGGACTTACAAGGTGAACACTTTGTTCCACTCGGGGTTGAGGGTTTTGTAGATGGTGTGCGTCTGAAGCCGGTCATTGCCCAACTCCAACAAGCAGAAAGGGTCGCTCTTTCCTGGAGGGAAAACACAGGCATTGGTCAGAGACTCAGGGACCTCAGACGTGACAGAGACCAGTGAACCGAGGCCCCGTGCTTCCCTCGAGATGCAACTGTGCTGGCTGAGAGAGGAGAGCGAGCCTGTCTCCCCCACAAGCCACATGGGAGCGCCGAGTCCTGCAAATGCTGAAACCGTGACATCATGAACAGGCTGGGACACACACACAACCCAGAGGCAGCCATGTGTGCCCAAGGCCACACAGGTATCATAGGAGCAGGTGTTCAATTGACATGGGAGAGAGTCCACTTTGGTGGTGTTGCTTTCATGTTTTTTATTGACTTCAGCGAAGAAGGGAGAAGGAGAGAGTGTGAGAGTGAGAGAGAAACATCAATGATGAGAATCATGGAGCGGCTGCCTCCTCTAAGCCCTATAACTGGGAATCGAGCTTGCCACCCAGGCATGTGCCCTTGGCCAGGAATCGAATCCATGATCCTAATGTGGGGTGTGCAGGAAGCAGATGGTCTATGATTCCCTCTCATCGTTGATGTTTCTATCTCTCCCTCTCCTCTCTCTGAAATCAATAAAAATATTTTTTTTAAAAAAAGGCCCTAACCAATTTGGCTCAGTGGATAGAGCATCGGCCTGCAGACTGAAAGGTCGCAGGTTCCATTCTGGTCATGGGCATGTACCTTGGTTGCTGGCACATCCCCAGTAGGGGGTGTGCAGGAGGCAGCTGATCAATGATTCTCTCTCATCAATGTCTCTAAATCTCTGTCCCTCTCTCTGCCTCTCTGTAAAAAAATCAATAATATATATATATATATTTTAAAAGTTAATAACAATCTACCTACTTATATAATTTAAGTTTTAAACATTTGGATCTCAAAAGAAATGTCAATCGTTGTACTATGGATATTTGGCTCTGTGGACTAATGAGTTTGCTGACCACTGGCCCCACTGGAACAACTGAAAGCATTTCCCCAAACCTGAAAATCTACGTGTGATTGCCTCCTGCTGGGCAAACAGCTAAACAGCTGAAGGCATTTCCCCCAACCTGAAAATGTCTAAGGCACACTAAACTTTACCTTTTGTTGTGTACATCTGCTTTGCTCTAGGGAAATTTGTGTTAATACAGACCCCTGGGTCCGGAGATTAGGGAGCACGTGGTTACTATAGCTAAGTCTCCTCTGGCTCCCTGTGTATTCCAAATTTATATTTCTAGTCTCTTTATTATTAATTCTTATTAATCTCCAGATTCCTGAACCCGCTGGAAGCTGAGAAACACCCCCAGCAGGTCCAGAGCAGATACATACACGCTCAGGGTCCGAGCTTTTCCTCTGTGCTCCCTCTGTGTTCCCTGATGACCTCTGCTTCAGCCAGGCCATGTCACCTTGACAGGGTCTCCTCCCCCGCCCCTGCTCCCCAACCCCTCCCACTATGCCGCTTCACACTGTTTTAGCACCTTGCTCTCAATCGCCTCTGCTCTGTCCGACACCACTTTACAATCCATTTACATTCCTCCAACGGCAAGCGGAGGGTTCTCATTTAAATAATTCTACCTTTATAGGAGTTCCAGAAGTGGGATGACGCGTAATGAATGGCTTTTAGAGGTCGTATCATTCATCGGGCCCATATTTATTAAGCATGCACTGGACACCTGGCGCCGGACCAGGCCCTGGGGTACACAGACCACCAGGTCGTTCCCTTTATGAGACCCTCATAATAGCTCTGTTTGTGCGTGTGTGTGTGTGTGTGTGTGTGTGTTTTAGCAAATGTCACCTTTTCCATGAAAACTGCCCTCCTGTTCCCGGCCAGTGGACCGAGTGCCCCCACCTTCGACCTCTGGCTGTGTACTCTCCCTGTGTCTCTCGCATCCCTCATCTGTGACTCTGTCCTGTGGTGAGTCCTGTATTTCACAGAAGCAGCCCAATGCAGACACACACAACGTATGCACGCGAGGGTCAGTGACAGAGCTGACAGAGGGGACACTGCTGGGGACAAGTGTCAGCTAGAGGGAGTCTTGCTTTTCCCAGTGAGCACAAAACCATGCTTTATGCCAGTTCTCATTGCACCCTCCAAGAGGTAAGGAATGTTGGCGCAAGACTAGGAAACTCAAGTTCCCGGAAATTTAATTTGTTTGATTAAAGTCTACAAGGAATTCACAGTGGAGGTGAATTGTAAGCAAGGTCTGCGAGGGAACTGATTGGTTTAGAAGGAACAGGCTCTGATCTGTCCCTGTCTCTTTCTTAATGAGACAGGGACAGATCAGAGCCTTAAAATGATTAATGGGAGAGCCTGGGCGGTGTGGCTCAGTGGTTGAGCATCAACTTAGGAACTAGGACCGCGGTCGGCAAACTGCAGCTCGCGAGCCACATGCGACTCTTTGGCCCTTTGGGTGTGTCTCTTCCACAAAATACCACGGCCTGGGCGAGTCGATGTTGAAGAAGTGGCGTTAGAAGAAGTTTAAGTTTTAAAAATGTGGCTCTCCAAAGAAATGTCAATCATTATCCTGTTGATATTTGGCTCTGTTGACTAATGAGTTTGCAGACCACTGAACTAGGAGGTCACGGTTGGATTCCCGGATAGTTGACTCAGTGGATAGTGCGTCGGCCTGTAGACTGAAAGGTCACGAGTTCGATTCTGGTCAAGGGCATGTACGTTGGTTGCAGGCACATCCACAGAGTTGGGGGGAGGGTGTGCAGGAGACAGCTGATCAGTGTTTCTAACTCTCTATCCCTTTCCCTTCCTCTTTGTATCGATAAAAAAAAAAATCAATAAAATATATATTAAAAATAAATAAATGAAAACGGCTCTTACCAGAGAAGTCAGCAGCTAAGAGGTCCACGGCCTTTAAAACCTTCACTTGTAAAATACCGATATCCTTCATGTCTCTCAGGCTGTTCTGCAGGCCCTGAGGAAAACACACACACACACATGCGTGGGTCATGGATGCAAACCGCTCTCCGATGACCCCCTCGTGCCACGGGACAAGCTCCCTCGGTGGACCTCGGCCCCTGACTCATGCCAACGCTCAGAAACCTTGCCCGGTGCACCATCTCCGTCCATGGGACACTCAGGCATCCACAGCAGCCAGATTCCCAGAGACTGAGATTTAATTAACTCCAGCTCCGAAATGCACGCATTACACACACACACACAGGCAATCAGCTTTTAATGCGGCCCCCTGGTGACAGCTCAGGCTCCCTGCCGGGAAGATGTGTGCGGAGCGGCATCCATCCTCCTGGTCTCCGTCTCTCGCTGGAATTAAACTTCTCAATCGCCCAGGAAGGCGCCATCACTCTGGCCTCGTTGGTGCGGACTTTATGGATATCAGAGGAAGATATGTGGACCCTCCGTGGATGCTCATTCCCGGGGGAAGGAGGGGAGGAATGGAGCTGGAGAGTGGATTCTCTGGTCCTCCCATCAGCTCATTCATTCCATGGGAGACGGAGCATCCTGCATCAGGTTTGCATTCACGTTTATGCTAAGTTTTTGTTTGTTGGGACTTCAACACAGGGTGGGGCAGAAGTAGGTTTAGAGTTGTGAGGATACAAAACAGTTTATTCTTTTTTTAAAAAAAGATATTTTACTGATTTTTTTTGCAGGGAGTAAGGGAGAGAAAGTTAGAAACATGCTTGTTTCTCTCTCATAAATGTTTCTCACTGCTATTCCTTTCCCTTCTCTGTAAAAAAAAAAATCAATAAAATGTATCTTTTAAAAAAAAAAAAAAAAAAAGAGCTTCATAGTAATTAGGATTTGCTTAACCTAACATGTACTGTTGCTAAGAACTTTCTAAAGCTGTTTCTGATCTGCATTTTCAATCTAAAAAGTAACCCAAAAAATTGGGTTTCAGCTTAAATAAAAACTTTATCAAATAAAATACTTTTCAACTTTGAAGACTGTCTTTTCTGATGCCCTAAAAAAACAAATCCAGTGCAGCCCAGCCAGTGTGGCTCAGTGGTTGAGCCTCGGCCTGCAGACTGAAGGGTCCAAGGTTAGATTCCAGCCAAGGGCACATGCCCAGATTGCGGGCTTGATCCCCAGTAGGGGGCATGCAGGAGGCAGCCGATCCGTGATTCTCTCTCATCACGGACGCTTCTGTCTCTCTCTCTCTCTCCCATCTTCTCGGAAATCAATAAGGACATTTTTTTTTAAGTGGGGGTGGGGCCGGTGTCGCAGGGCGTAGCACTCACGTAGCGCTGGGCGATCTGCTTCCTTTCGCCGGGGTCCGCCAAGGGGCACACACACAGGTCGGACACGGAGACCCCCGCGCAGGGGGTGAGCGTGATGAGCAGCAGGAGGGCGCCCAGGCAGCTGTCCAGGGGCAGCTCCAGGCAGTTGGCCTGCTTGAGCGGGAGCGAGGCGATGTCCACTTTACACCTGCAAGAGCGGGAGGCGGAGGGGGGAGAGTGAGCGACTAACCCAGGGCCACCCCGGCGCCTTCCGCACAACCCCGTTCCTCAGGACCCGAACCACATTCTGTGGGGCCTGGGTTTCTCGGGCAGGGAAGGGCGAGAGGGCTCCTCTGGCTTAGAATGCTCACTCCTAGCCCAGCACACTCTAAAATGAAGGAGAGGAGCCCGGCCAGTGCGGCTCAGTGGTTGAACATTGACCCATGAACCAGGAGGTCACGGTTCGATTCCCGGTCAGGGCACATGACTGGGTTGCAGGCTCGATCATCCCCAGTAGGGGGTGTGCAAGAGGCAGTCAGCCGATCCATGATTCTCTCTCATCCTGGATGTTTCTATCTATATTTCCCTCTCCCATCCTCTCTGAAGTCAATAAAATATATTTTTTTAAAAATTAGGGAGAAAAGGTTTTGCAAGTTTTAAGTATTATGGCTCTATGTAGCTTTTCTGCTCCGTGTCTTTCTCCAGCAAAGAGAATAAAGGGTTTCGAAAACAATTTAGAAAAGACAAGAGACATGTAACCATTTTCTCCCAGATGATTGCCAACGGGCGTGCGTGGTTTTATTCACACCCACGTGGTAAGGTGCCCTCCTAACGGGCGGGTTGCACAGGGCTTCCCCCGGTGGGTTTCTCTCTGGACAAATGGAGCCTGAAGAGCCGCTGGTGGACCCCACTTGAGCAGTGGCTCGGGGAGGCTGTCCCATCTGCTATAAATGGCGTGTTTTCCGCCTCTTCACAACCCGTGTTCTGGGCTGTTGAAAACCTCAAGCACGTTGAAATGCGGAAGCAAACACCGCCAAGGGGGGCTGAGAGCTCTGTGCTTATTTGCTTTAACACTGAAAACCCTGGGGCAGCCTGGACCACACCTGCTTTGTTTATGCTTAGAAGGGTTGGAGGGGGAGGGGGGAGCAGAGGTAGGAGGGAGTCAAGGAGGGAGGGAAGGAGGGAGGAAGGGAGTGACTGTTTTGGACAGTCATTCAGGATGTGTTGCACACTGGCTCTTGGGCCAAAGTGAGACCTTAGCAGATCTTAGAATAGTCAATATCATCTCTAGGCCTGGCCAGTGTGGCTCGGTGGTAGGATGAGGACCCATGAATCAGGAGGTCATGGTTCAATTCCAAGTCAGGGCACATGCCTGGGTTGAGGACTCGATTCTCCAGAAGGGGCAATAGGGGCCATGCAGGAGGCAGCCGATCAATGATTCTCTCATCAGTGATGTTTCTCTCTCTCTCCCTCTCCCTTCCTCTTTGAAATCAATTAAACACACACACACTGAGTGGCCAGATTATGATCTCTGAATGCATAATAATCTGGCCACTCACTGTGTGTGTGTGTGTGGGTGTGTGTGTGTGTGTGTGTGTGTGTGGCCTGGTGCATGAATTCGTGCATGGGTGGGGTCCAGCCAGCCTGGCCAGGGGGAGGGGACATGGGTGGTTGGCCGGCCGGCCTGCTGGTTGAAATCCTGGTTGAGGGGACAACTTGCATATTAGCCTTTTATGCTACAGGAGTGGCCAGATTAGTATGTGTTCAGAGATCATCATCATCTGGCCCCTCGGTGTATATAGACAGGAATATAGGCCCCTCCCATACTGAAAAGCCCATGGTTTAATTCATCTAAAGAAAACAAGGCTGAATTACTTATTTTCCTCAACAGCAGGCATATATTAAGCCTGCAGCCAGTTAATGTGCGGATGCGGCATTGTGTCTGACCTCCTGTGCATGCCTTTCCCCATTAATCCCACCGCATCTTATTGTCTTAATTCCACACATAATTTCACCGTATCCGTCAGCCCAACCTGCTCCGGTGTCCCTTGCCATGATAGCTTTTAACCTCTCGCTCATTACCATAATTCTATGCTTTATATTTCAGGCTGCTCAGCTCTTAACGTAAATGCAAGGGGCAGGACAGAATGCTGTAGTTTTCGAAGCTGTAAATCTCAGAGGCTGAGGAAGGGGGATGAACAGGAGGAAGACGGGGAGTGTGTGAGCGTGGCTGTAAAAGCAGGTCAAGAACATGGGTGCCATTTGTCCAGGGAAATGGTCCTTCCCTGATTCTCTGCTGACAAACTGGTGGGATGTCAGAGCCTCTTTCAAGTCATGCATGGGACTCAGAGGCAGCCGGAGCTCCAGCATCCTCCTTCTTAAGTTGCCCAAGTGAAAGTAAGGCTAGAAGATTCCATAACGAGTTCATCTCTACAGTCGCCTTGAAATGTAAAATACACGTTAAGCAAAGGATTATTTTGAACAACTGGTACTGGTTTAAAATGGGAGAGTGTATAATCTATGTTCTTGCCATTTTGTTTAAAAGTTGGAGGTTAGCCCGGCTGGTGTTACTCAGTGGTTGAGCGTCAACCTATGAACCAGGTCACGGTTCCATTTCCGGCCAAGGGCATAGGTCAAGATCAAGAGCATATACCTGGTTGCAAGTTCCATCCCTGCCCCATGGTTGAGGTGCGTGCAAGAGGCTACCAACAGATGTGTCTTTTTCACATAGATGCTTTTCTCTTTCTCCTCCTCCCCTTCCCTTTCACTCTCTCTAAAAATCAATGGGAAAACATATCCTCAGGCGAGGATTTTTGCAAAATATCTATTTTTATTGATTTCAGAGAAGAAGGGAGACAGGGGGAGAAATATAGAAACATCAGTAATGAGAGAGAATTATTGATTGGCTGCCTCCTGCCTGTCCCCCGTGGGAATCGAGCCCACAACCCAGACATGTGCCCTTGACTGGAATCGAACCTGGGACACTCCAGTCCACAGGCTGATGCTCTATCCAATGAGCCAAACCAACTAGGGCAGGTGAAGATTTTTATAAAACAAAAACAAAAACAGAGAGGACTCAGGAGACAGTTATGACCGACTCTCACTGTCAAAGGGACTTGATGCAAAAAAGGTATTTCTCTGCATCTGGGAGATCAGATCACTGAGCACTGGAATTACAACAAAGTAAAGTGGAAATAAATATGTGAAAAATCTTACCTAATAACAGACAAACATGTAAATTGACCATACCTCTGCTATGCCCACAGCCAATCAGGAGTGAGCATGCAAATTAACATGACAAAAATGGTGGGTTCATTTGCATACGCAGGTCCTGAGTGGCCAGGCAGGTTGGAGGGATGCCTGCTATAAAGGGAAGGAGCAGAGGGAGCTACAGGATCAGTGCTCTGGCCAGGAGGAAAGACTTGAAGCCAGGGGACAGAAGGTCTATTCTTGCACAAATCTTGGTGCAACGGGCCTCTAGTGTAAAATAAAGAACTATAAGGAGCGTGTCTGTGGTAGGCACCGGCTGCCATCATCTCCCCGTTAACTCTGAGGCTCACGCTGTATCTCAGGGTCCGCCTCGCCCCACCTGCAAGTTCGCTGCAGCTAATGCTGTGTAACCAGCTCCCAAGAGAAACACTTCTGTGATCTCTTTTACTGCGGGAGAGGAAAGAGGAAAGAGATACAAAAAAAAAAAAAAATCCATAAAAAGAAAGGACAGAGTGGCCATTAACTAGGACAGGCACACAAACAAGAAACAGCTGAGGTCGTAAATAAACACCCGGATGACAACACATGGAGGGACAGGGCCATCGGAAACCCGTGTCTGTGTGTGAAGACACCTCGCACACGGGGAGAAGCATTTCCTGTGACGTGGGGCAGCCGTGACAGCACAATGGCACGGGGCGAGAGGGCGTGACTCTTTGTACTGACACCACAGGTCGGCCATGCATCACGGCAGGACCACTCGGAGGACACGGCGGGACACGGAGTGCTCTGCGTCGGCACACGGATGTAACGTGTCCTTGCTCCTGGGCTAGCACAGCGTGTCTGATCCCCCCTGTATGTAGATGGGTGTTGGCGGGGCACAGTATGTCACAGCGGTCCCCAGGGTCAAGGGTAAGGAGAAGTGTCTGAGGGGTCATTACCTTAAGGAGGAGGTGAAGGAGCGGGAGAAGGGACCAGGCTGGAAATCTGATCAACAATATCTGTGAAGTGCCAGGCCACACCCCCTGAGAGTGTGGCAGGAACTACTTTTTTCTGTTTTAATCAAAACTAAATGGCATTGCCTGGCCGGCCTGGCTCGGTGTGTGAGTACCGACCTAGAAACCAGGAGGTCACGGTTGGTTTGATTATCTGGTCAAGGGCACATGCCCCAGTAGGGGGCATGAAGGAGGCAGCCAATCACTGATTCTCTCTCAGCATCAATATTTCTATCTCTCTCTCCCTGTCTCTCTTCTTCTCTGAAATCAAAATGTACTTTAAATAAATAAAGGCGTAGGACTGCATAAAATAAACACTGCCTTGTTCAATTCAGAATATATAGAGAATGTCACATATATGACAACTAGAGGCCCAGTGCACAACATTTGTGCACAGGTAGGGCCCTGAGGCCTGCCTGGTGATCAGGGCTGATTAGGGCCTTCTGGTTGCCAACTGGGGCCTCCCTTCGCTCTGCACCGTCCCCGGGTGGTCAAGGCATGTCACAGCGAGCAATCGGTCTCCAGCTTGAACGCCCACAGTGACAATTTGCATAATAGGCTTTTATAGAGAGAGACACGGGACAAAGGACGAGAAAGAAATGGAGCTATTGATAGATTGACGTTTCTAATCTCTCTTTCTCTCTCTTTCTTCCTCTCTGAAATCAATACCAAAAATAATTTTTTTAATAAATACTAAATGCCATCGACCCATAAACAAATAAAAACTGCGCCCCGGGGAAGTTCCAGCTTCCTTCTGTTCCTTCTGGCCCCCTGGGGTGGGCAGGTGAGGTGTGACTCTAAGCCCAACAGACAAAGACCAGCCTCGTGCAGAAAGCGCCGCGCACGCGCACATCCCCACCACCGAGAAAGCAGAGTGGACTCACGTGCCCAGTCGCTCCTCGTGCTTTTTGCCGTCCTTTCCCCAGACCTCAATGTCCAAGATGCCCATCCTGTCAGAGAAGTAGTGAAAGTCAAACTCTTCCCGCCACTGTGGATGTGCACTCTTACACAGTGTCTAGAAAACATGCGGTTACAACGTTTATTGTCTTCGGACTGCCATGCATTGCGACACATTTCAATTCATTGCTCTACACAGCTGGGGCAGGAGCTCGGGGTGCCTGTCCCTTCCGAGGCTCAACGTTTCCCCTTTGGGGAAGGACAGGGTATTCAACAGTGGATCCCACCAAGTTAGGAAGCACAGGGACACCACAAGAAACCATAACTTTTATATGTATACTAGAGGCCCAGTGCATGGATTCGTGCACTGGTGGGGTCCTTCGGCCTGGTCTGGTAGGGAATTGGGCCAAAACCGGCTCTCCAACATCCCCGTGAGGGGTCTCAGATTGAGAGAGGGCTGTTCTTGGATGATGAACCCTGGAATTGAGCTCCCTCCTCTCTGGTTCCTGGCGCGTCACCAGAGAACCGCAGCTGCCAAGTCACCACGGCTCGGCAGCTCCTGCACTGAGCGTCTGCCCCCTGGTGGTCAATGCACATCATCGCTACCGGTCGGATGGTCGCTTAGGCTTTTATATAGAGAGAGATATATACCTATATATATAACATATCTCAATGGATGTTTCACACTGTCTACCCTTACAGAAACTATATTCATTGGTTCCTGAAATCATTTTATTGGCACATGCCTTCAGCACTGGCTTAAGAAGTATATAAATGAACAATCTGGGATCCTGATTAATATCTGACAGCTGCATTGCACATTAACCCATGAGTTCAGTACACTGCTGCCTATTTTTTTAAAATCCCAGTTTCCTGAGTCCTGTCCCTAGAGGGAAGATGCTCTGACTGGAGAAATTGAATTTGTGGCTAAAAAATGAGCAGAAATGCTGGTCCTTGAGTACCAGCCTCAAGGAAGGGCACAGCATCCACTATTAAGCCTTTGTGCCAACATGGGCAGACCGGTACCAGCACAGCCCTGGCCTGTAGCCAGCATCACGTAACATCATTTAAGCTGTTGGTCGCATTGGACGGGCTATGCCAGGTCACAGAATGTAGCAACCACGAAGGAAAAAGCAAAAGTATTAGGCCACAAATTAAATGCAATATCCCCCAGGAGGGGGTCCCAGAGCAGATATTGGACTAATTCTCCACTTCACCTCAGTTTCAAAGGGCTAAGTGTGCCCCGTGATGGATAATTTTCCTATAAATCCTCTGCCCAGCCCCGGCTGGCTACAGAAATCTCAGCCAGGGATGCGGTTACCCTGGATACAGTCTCTGGTCGGTACAGCCTCAGACTACCTGGCCAATATCACCTGCATAATTCTGCCCTAAGTCACCCTCAGTTTTTCCCATTTCTTTATAAACTGATTTGTCAACATGAGCTTCCATTCTCTAATCCAGTGGTGGGCAGACTCCTTAGTCCACAGAGCCAAATATCGACAGGACAACAATTGAAATTTCTTCTGAGAGCCAAATTTTTTAGACTTAAACTTCTCCTAACGCCACTTCTTCAACATAGACTCGCCCAGGCCGTGGTATTTTGTGGAAGAGCCACACTCAAGGGGCCAAAGAGCCGCATATGGCTTCAGAGCCGCAGTTTGCCGACCACTGTGAGTCTAGTCCGTGTCCTGGTGGGAATGATGCTTCGTGTTTGATTCTGCACTGAAATTGGTTCAGCAGAGACAAAATCTCGGCTCCCTAGAGCATCTGCCAGCTTGTCTGCGTCTGTTATGCCTTCCACTCGGGGAAGGCCGATGTGCAAATATCCTGTTTTTGAAAACCTTCCCCTGATGTTTTTTTTATTATGTGGCTTTTGGCAAGGAGCTTAACGTTCAAGTACCCCGGGTCCCTCCATCCATAAAACATGGACCAGATTCCTGTCTGACAGCTATGTAAAACGAATTCGTTACCGTGGTTTGGAGACCACGGTGTGTGAAACAGAAACCTCACCAAATTAGTCAGATTAAAAATTAAATGGCATTCGGATCAACAGAATCAGATGACTGGGTTGGCAAGGCAGCTAAAAAGGCCAGTGTTTTTGTTCATAACAAATCACTTTTAATATGTTAGATAGTTTGGTGTGTATGTGTTTGGTTTTTTTAATTAATTCATAGCAAAAAAATTTTTTTAAATAAAAAAATAAAAAAAAAACACAGCAGCACTCTAAGTCCATTTTTCGTGTAAATACTAACAAAAAAAAGAAAGTTGTATATAATTTTGAAAATGCTTTTAGCTATCACAAATACTGTAACCCAAGAGTAAACATATATTACTCTTTTATTTTTTGTTACAGTTTGAAGGCATTTAGTTATCTGTTTCCGCATTCTACGAAACACAGTTTTTGCTTCTTTTCAAAACAAAATAAATCATGCATTCAAATATATTATTTAATGAGCTTTCACCAGCTCCAGTGACGTGGACGGAACCAAAATAAACTTAGCCAATACTCCTACTAATTGTATCTGTACCAGTATTTTGCTTTCTGGAATAATCTGAACATAGTTAGCAGGGTTAAAGAGAGATGACTACTTCTAGCCTAAACCGGTGTTGCTCAGTGGATAGAGCGTTGGCCTGCAGACTGAAGGGTCCCGAGTTCGATTCCGCTCAAGAACATGTACCTTGGTTTGGGGCACATCCCCAGTAGGGGGTGTGCAGGAGGCAGCTGATCAATATTTCTCTCTCTCTCTCTCTCTGTGTATAAATTAATAAAATATATTTATAAATAAATAAATAAATAAAAGAAATGACTTCTATTCTTGTGGACGTGTACAGCGGGAAGACATTTATTTTTTTTTTTTTCAGAAGGAATACCAATTTCTATTTTAAGGTGCTGTTCTCCTTTAAGACCTGGCCACTCACCTTGCTCTTGTACCTCTGCTCCCCCAGCTTTAAGAGGACGAACATCTCGGCCACGTTTCCCACCGACACGTTCTTTCCCTCCAGCAGCGCGATGCTCACGATGCCGTTCCAGAGCTGGTTCTTCCTCAGGGCCTCCGAGAGCCGCAGGCTGCGCATCAGCGAGGACTAGAGCGAAAGGCAGAGAGGAGGGAGAGGTCAGCTCGCCGGTGATCCCTGAGTGTGATGCCGGCGGTCATAGCCCTGCCTGGATGGATATGGGGAGAGGTGCATGCGAGCGACAGTGGCATTGAGCACCGGCCTGTCCACCCTCTTCACCTGGGCCTTTGGCTATTTTAAGGACAGGAAGGGAAGAAAGAAAGGCATTCTGGGAAACAAAGGTATAAGGGCAAGGCATTGCTTTGTAGGGAAATGAAATATCTATGGGCATTCGGAAATAGTGGTGTGTTTTTTTTAAATATATATATTTTGTAGAGAACAAGGGTGAGAGGGAGAGAGAGAGAGAGAGAAACATCAATGATGAGAGAGAATCATGGATCAGCTGACTCCTGAATGCCCACTATTGGGGATCGAGCATGCAACTGGGACATGTGCCACGACAGGGAATAGAACCATGACCTCCTGGTTCATAGGTGGTCACTCAACCACTGAGCCACACCAGCCTTGCAGAAATAGTGGTTTTGAGTTTATCCTTCACACTTGAATCTGTCCCCACGCCCCTTTATTCCCTGGTAATTACTAAAAAGATCATCCCTTGTGAGATTCATAGCTCCCGACAGAGCATGGGATTGGCCAGCCGGATGAGCTCTGAAGAATGGGGGGCGATGGGGGGGGAGGAGAGGAAATAATGTATAAAGCGCAGTACCTGGAACCAGGACAGTTGAGTTCAGGAACTATTAGCTTATTTTGTTCCTTGTCTAAATGATGTCACTCATGTCCACTCATACACGCCTTAAACCAGTGGTCGGCAAACTCATGAATCCACAGAACCAAATATCAACAGGAGAACAATTGAAATTTCTTTGGAGAGCCACATTTTTAAAACTTAAACTTCTTCTAATGCCACTTCAAAACAGACTCGCCCAGGCCGTGGCATTTTGTGGAAGAGCCACACTCAAGGGGCCAGAGAGCCGCCATGTGGCTCGTGAGCCACAGTTTGCCGACCGTGGCCTTAATCCAAATACAGAGAAAGGCAAACATCCCTACTGGTAAATTGTCCAGAGGACAAGCACACTTTTAATTTCCATTATGTGAGTTTTCGGACACATACAGAGGTACAACAGTATATGAAATCTCCATGGATTTATTCACCAGAGTCAACGACTTGCCAATCTTATTTCATCCATCCCTTTACTACTCACTTATTGCTGAAATATTGGAAAGAAAACTCCACCTATGGTTTTGTTTTTGTTTGTTTGTTTGTTTTTAAATATATTTTCATTGATTTTAGAGAGGAAGAGAGAGGGAGAGAGAGAGAAACATCTATGATAAAAGAGAATCAGAGATGGGCTGCCTCCTGCATGCCCCACACTGGGGACCGAGTCCACAATCCGGGCATGTGCCCTTGACTGGACTCAATCCTGGGACCCTTCAGACAATAGGCTGATGCTCTACCCACTGAGCAACACCAGCTAGGGCCCACATTTGCTTTTCCGTACGCAGGATGCTCAACAAACGTAGCCATAATTCCCTTAATATCGTTCACTATCCAGGGCAACTTTACATCTCGCGGACGGTCTCAGCACTGTCCTTTTTATGGTTAGTGAGTTTCGGTGCATTTGGTTGGGGGAGTTCATTGATGCTCTCCGCTCACTAAATGAAGTGGCGCAGGCATCGCTGGATCTCTCTGAAGGAGAAATAAATGGACTGAGGAATGTAAATGGCGCCAAGTATCATAGCAGAGCAATGAATTTCTAACGCTATATATCCATCCTGTCATCGGCTCAATATATCTCCCAGGCCGTTTAGACACCAATTTGCTGGGACACCAGTTCGTCACAATTCATCACGGCAAATGGTATGTCTGGGCCGTATTAATTACAGACCGGCTTACCTCATCCGGCACACGGCGCTCTGTTGAAGAAATGATGCAACAGGCTACTCCATGCATTCTGTGGATCATTTTATAACCACTTTAAACACTAAGGGGATCTATTCTCCCAAACTTCACACCCATATCGCTGTTCTCATAAAATGTACAGGCATACACACACACACACACACACACACACACACACACATACACACAGCTCTTGGACGTGCTGAGACAGAGAAGGGAGGGCAGACAAGATAACAATTAATTTTAAAGAGAAGAAAAATCCCTTTCCACTGGACAACATACACTGAGTGGCCAGATGATGATGACCTCTGAACCCATAATAATCTGGCCACTCAGTATATGTGTTTTATAATAAAAGGCTAACATACAAATTGTCCCCTTGACCAGGAGTTCGACCAGCAGGCAGGCCGGACAACCGCCCATATCCCCTTCCCCTGGCCAGGCTGGACAGACCCCACCCATGCACAAATTCATGCACTGGGCCTCTAATATATATATATATATATATATATATATATATATATATATATATATATATATATATTAGAGTGGCCAGATTATGATGCATCAGAGATCATAATAATCTGGCCACTCAGGGTAAACCTTATTTTGTAACTTCTATTTGCCTTTGGGTTGTGGACTGAATATACTCCAGAAGAAAGTTGATAAAACAGTGAAAAGCTCAGCAATTGTCTACTTTAAAAAAAAACACACAAAAAAACACACACACAACTGTTTTTATTCATTTCAGAGAGGAATGGAGAAAGTGAGATAGAAACATCAATGATGAGAGAGAATCATGGATTGGCGGCCTCCTGCACGCCCCCTACTGGAGATCGGGCGTGCAATCGGGCATGTGCCCTTGACCTGGAATCGAATCCAGGACCCTTCAGCCCACCGGCCGATGCTCTATCCACTGAGCCAAACAGGCTAGGACCGCCATTTCTTGCTCCTTAAGAACAACAAACACCAGCACCATCTGGAGACAGACAGACACGTATGTAAACATCGAAGCATGCGTGTTTATGTGTCTATAGGTGTGCGTACAGATGTAGCTACCTGAAGACACGGGAGATCTCAGGCAGCCCACGGGCCTAGAGCTTCTCCCTTTTACAGAGAAAATGGGATTTTGATTCATCTGTCCCGCTGCCGTTTCCTGTTTTGCGTGTGTTTTTCTTCCCAAACTCTGACTTGCCAAACAGCACGCTAATGCATGTCCTGTCCCGTGGCCAGTTCTTCAAAGCCCCGACAGATAGATGCCTCCCTGAGCACTGAAACTATTTCCAAACCCTCTTTTCTGAAGAAGGGAGTGGAGTCCACGGGAGATCAAAGGGCAGCAGCCTGCAGTCTGGCAACCGCCTGAGAGAAATGGCCGTGTTTCCATGAAATATGTCCTGAGAAGAATTCCGGGGCGCTCGGTATGTCCTCATTTCAAATGGGATGTTTATCTTGGAAGAGCTTCTATCTCGCCTGTCCGCGAAGCGGCCCCACTTAGCTCGATGAGCTTTGTGAAAAGGGGATCCAAAGCCGGTCGTCAAGGGGCCCGGGAGAGAGGTTCCATATGGCGGGGCAGCCTGGGAGGGCCAGGAGCCGGCAGCCAGCAGGCCAGGCTTGGCCGGGGCTGCCGGCCCAGCCGCTGCAGGACGGCGTAACATCTGGATCATTGCTCGCCACGTCCCTGGGAAGCATCCACTTCCCATCAAAGCCTTTATCTCTCTTGGCCGGACTTTGAACATTTGGGCCTGGAATGCGGTCATGTTGGATGTGATGGACTCGCTCTGTGCCGGCCAAGGTTTTTTTGCTTTTTTTCCTTCCCCTCTAAGAAAGAGAGCCGGGGAAAGAGCCGTAGGCATCGCACAGCTCAGAGACAGAGAGGAAAGTAAATCCTTGCCCTCGCGCAGTGGTTTGCAAACTCATGAGTCCACAGAGCCAAATAGTAACAGGACGATGACTGACATTTCTTCGGAGAGCCACGTTTTTTAAAATGAAACGACTTCTAGCACCACTTCTTCAACATAGACTCGCCCAGGCCGTGGTATTTTGTGGAAGAGCCACACTCAAGGGGCCAAAGAGCCGCATGTGAATCGGGAGCTGCAGTTTGCTGACAACTGCCCTAGCTGATCTGGCTCAGTGGATAGAGCATCAGCCTGCCCACCGAAGGGTCTCAGGTTCGAGTCCAGTCAAGGGCATGTACCTTGGTTGTAGCTCTTCCCCAGTCCAGATCCTGGTCCATGAGGCTCATGCAGGAGGCCACCAATCGATGTGTCTCTCGCACATTGATGTTCCTCTCTGTCTCTCCCTCTCTCTTCCACTCTCTCTAAAACTCAATGAAAAAACATCATCGGATATGGATTTAAAAAAAAACAAAAAACACCTTTATTCTGCCTATTTCACCCTCAATACTCCTGCCCACTTTATTATTATTATTATTATTATTATTAAAGTGTAATATACTAATTAGACTGGCCGTCCTTCTAGACGAAGGAAGCCAGGGCTGTGAGAGCCAAGTCCTTGCACAAATTTCATGCACCGGGCCTCTCATGTGTAAGTAAAGTCATCTGTTCACAATGCTTTCTGGGATATATGCGCAGGCTTTTTAAAAAAAAGTTTCTTAATTAACTGAACATTTCTCTTCCACCCTGGAGAGCAGCGGTCGGCAAGCTCATGAGTCCACAGAGCCAAATATCAACAGGACAACGATTGACATTTCTTTGGAGAGCCACGTTTTTAAACTTAAACTTCTTCGAATGTCACTTCGTCACAATAGACTCGACCAGGCCGTGGTGTTTTGTGGAAGAGCCACACGCAAGTGGCCAAAGAGCCGCCTGCGGCTCGAGAGCCACGGTTTGCTGATCACGGGCTTAGAGCAGTCCCGCCATCCCGTGTGAGCCCTGAGGCAGAGCCCGGCTCGCAGATGCCTTGGGGGTCCCCACATGCTCTCTCTCTCCCCCCGCAATAAATAGGGCTCCATCTTACTCTCTCTGTTAGCTCAATGGCTCAGGTTGTCACGGCGGCGGTGCCCGAGCCTGGGAGTGAAATTTATCATCTTAATGCAGCCGGGGATGTGAAGGGAGAAAAGGAAATGACCCATCAAAGGAGGAAACAAACA